AATAATATCTTAAATAATTTATATCCACTTTTTCAAACCATATCTGATTGACTTACAGAAGCAGTTTCTTATAAATAATAAAATAAAATGAATCTATCCTCAAAGAATTTTTCAATCTTGTCAACATCGTATTATTTTTAAAGGCATTCAAAGTGTTCCTCTAGTGTTCTTCAGTATTAATTTATTGTTTTATTAATTAATAATCAGAATATATTCTAAAACTCAGTGTGACCAATATTTTCCTTTATGATAGATTTTTAAAAGTAATTTAGCTTAATTTTTAAGCATAACAGGGAAAATACTTAAATCATTAAAAAATAACATTTAGTTCACTATTTTATTTCAGAGAATAATGTACTTATGTATGCAAACATGCCATTGGAAATATTCTATATTTCAAGTATCTGTTTTGAAGATACGTTAATAGTGAACTATCACAATATTACAAAGTATAAAAAATGTAGGTTAGGCTCATTATATTTGAATCAATGCTTTTTAAGGTGTTTGACCCCAAATAAAATATTTAGAAAGCCAAATGCAGTAAAGAATGTTTAGTAAAGGTGAATGTTATCAATTTAAATGGTTGTTTTTGTTTCATTTTGATGAGTTAAATTATTTCCTAAGTGTTCTTTTAAAAAAATATTGAAATTTAAGAGGAAAAAAGGTGCCATTCTAAGCTAGTTAACACAATTGAGGATAATAAAAGAGAAAAATCAGTATAATAATAGAATAGCACAGATATTTTCCCTACCCCCAAGTAATTAAAATAGTGTTTTATTGGAGGTTTCAAATTTATTTCCTTAGATAATAAAAGTATTTCTGAGTCAACTTGAATGTGGACCAAATAAATTCAAAGACATTAAAACAGGATGATTTTGCTAATTAAAGATACGCATTATTCTCTTTTACTTGAAACATGAAAGAAAAATTAGAATATAGTTCAGATATGAAAGCAAAAACAAAATATGACCTTTAATCATTCACTTTTTGCAGAAATATACAAGTGAAAAATTTTAGCATTTTTATATTTAATATTGGTAGAATCTTGGTCGTTTCACCTCAAAATGAAATATCTGGAGTTAAGTTTAAGAATATAGGGCTAAAACAATGCTTTCCAATACTGGTTTTTGCATACCCTCATCCTCCAATTCTGGAAATAAAAGTCATCTAGAGTTCAATCAAATGTTAGACAAAAGTTTGAAATCTTTTTGCTATAGATGATGCCCTCTTCAAGCAACAAAATATCTATAGTCCAAAATTTCTAAGTTAGCAAAAAAAAAAAAAAAATTACTAAATGAATGTCTGTGTGTGCCTGTGTGTGTGTGTGTGTGTGTGTGTGTGTGTGTGTGTGTAATTCACTATATGAGAAGGCTCATAATTATATATTATAGACCAGAAAAGAAGCTAGACCACTGGGCAACTGAGTAGTTCAAACGCTGCATGAGTTCAGAGTTCTTCCCAGTCCCAAAATTTTCTTCATTCTAAAACAGAAGATGATAGAACTGTATCCCTAAGCACACTCACGCTTTATTCCAAACTACATCATGGTCATTGTATGAGGTAATTCATACCATATTATAATCCAGAAAACTTTAGAATCAGGTATTACCAAGCTATTTCCTTCAATCTCAGCAAAGCATTAATGAAGTCAAGGAACTATTTCAAGTTAAGAGATAGCATCTTCTTTCTGAATCTATTCATAAAGCCTTAGGTTTTGCTATGGTTAGTTACCGCTCTCTAGTGTGATGGCTTTGGGATTTTTTTTTTGACATCTTCCTCCACTCTACCCTCATATAGATACTCATGCAAATGTTCTCTTTCCCCTTTTTGAGACTTGAAATTGATTTAATACCTTAGTCAGCTTTCCTTTCCAAAATAGCCCTTATCAACCATCAAAGTTTTATTACTCTAGGATTAAAAAAAGGTCATGATTATAGGATAAAGAGCAGCCAAAGAAGAGAGATCACCCTTTCAGGTGGAAAACATAGTTATTTATGAGTATTCTATAATTGTTCATCTCTGAAAAAAGTAATAATATTTCTAAGCAGGATTTCATTGTCTCTGTACAATTTTTAACCACAGGCATGATTTTTACTTTGTCTGTGACTATACATTAGTTTCTCCAGTTAAAAAACAAGAAAAATCTCAACATATAGATAATTTGTTTTATTTTAATAACAAATGTAAATTTGAGATACATTTGGAAGATGACAATGGAGATAAAACAAACAAGTGGTGATATAAAGTTAGGAGTTCTGGAAAGATTAGGTATGATTTGACCAGAAGAAAAAAGAAAGATCATAGCAATCATTGATTTCATTCCCTCCCTTCCTCTGGCCCTCTCTCTTCTTCCTTCTCCTCCCTTCTCTTTCTACCTTTCCTCTTTCTTTTTTCCTCCTTGATGCACTTCTTATACTAATTCAGAAAATAGAAAAGTTATTTTCAAAGTATTTCTTTGTGTGAGAAAATGATAAGGAATAAAACAGAAAGAAATAGGAATAGTTATGGAAGTAATAGGAAAAAATGTGAATAGGGAAGAATTTCTGCAATTACCTTTAAAAGGAATGCTTATTAGTTAAAATGTACAATATGGCCCACTTACTAGTAAAATATACAAAATGGCTTGCTTACAAGTAAAAAAAAAAAAAAAAAAGGATCAAAAATTTGCATTCCTTAAAAAGTCTAAATCAATGAGTTAAAGTAGATTTAATGGAGTATCACAAAATTTAAAAGAGGACAATTCTAGTATTGTTTTTGAAACCAAGACATGAAACTGCTTCAGAACATGAATGAAATTGTCTATGTATCACTTCTTCAACATTTTCTTATTAAGCACCAACTTACATAAGACTGAACAATGAGTAAGCTCAAAATATTTAAAGGAAAGAGGTTTGCTTCCTAAACACTATAATAATTTCTATTCATGTTTTCCAATCTTTTCGTTTTGTTTTGTTTTTACTGTGGCACCCACAATAACTTATTTTTCAACCTAATTTGATTTTTAGGTCTTACATATATTTTATTTTTCAATGAAAATATGTATTTTTGTCACAAGGGGCTTTTGTGGGTTTTTATTTAGGATTTCTTTTGGTTTGTTATTTCTCTATAGTCAAAATTCTTGTCCTTACAGTTGCATAATAACATTTCTGTATTTGAGCCCAAAGTCCAATTGTATTTCTGAATATTATATCTAAATTGTTAAATTAGCAAATTAGAACATGCCATCCAAAATCCTGTTATATATTTCATGTTGGAAATGTAACTCTCCAAAATAATTATTAAAATTTCTACTTTTTACATCAACATTCTTCCTATTTTCAAGCAATATTTGAATTAATAAAAATACCATAATTGAAGCAAATATTAATATGAAGGGGTTAAGACATTCTTTTTTCCTATTCTTTTTTTTGGTCTTACAGCTGAAAATATCTTTAGAAATAACATGGCATAATGAAGATTTTGGTGAATTCCATATAGCAATAAAACTATTAAATAAGTCATTTTCTCATGAGCTGAATTATTATCTCCTATAAGACTCTGAAAAAATAAATTATTGGAAAGAATCTAACTTAATTATTATGCAATTAGTTTTCAAGTGTATCTATCACTTTTAAGAAATTATTATTGATGACAATACCACCACACTTATTTCAGTTACTTTATTACCTTAATATGTCACATAATCTCCAACACAGTCATGCTAGTGATGAACATACAGCCTTGAAACAAAATCAAGATCTGATAGTCAAACTTAGCCCCGACTGCTTCTAAATGCTTATAAGCATGAATCATCCCCAGTCATCTATAAAACAAATGGAAAAAATTCAGATACTTAGTGCAAAAGACTTACCAATTTCTGTTACCTTAAACAGCATAATGAGCCATATGATAAGTGAAAAGTTTGTACAAAAATTGTGACTGTAAGCCTATTTATGTGCCAATAGTTTCATGTTACTTATACTGAATATGACAAGTATTTGTGTATAGGATACCATAAATAGAAAAAAGTAAAATTAAGAGAGCATGTCCTTTAATCATGTATTATTTGTGTAATAATAATTATCACAGGCCAGACGCAGTGGCTCATGCCTGCAATACCAGCCCTTTCTGAGGCCGAGCAGTACAATCACCTGAGGTCAGAAGTTCAAGGCCAGCCAGGCCAGTATGGTGAAACCCCATCTCTACTAAAAATACAAACATTAGCTGAGCATGGTGGTACATGCCTGTAATCTCAGCTACTCAGGAGGCGTAGGAAGGAAAATAGCTTGAACCCAGGAGGCAGAGGTTCCAGTGAGCCAGGACTGTTCCACTGCTCTCCAGCCTAGGCAACAAAATGAGACTCTGTCTCAAAAGTAAATAAATAAATAATAATAAAAATAATAATTATCATAATAATTCTGGAAGTTATGTTTGAGTAGTTTTTAAAGGCTTTGAAAATACTCCAATACATGTATTCAAACTCAAATTCAAATTATTAAGAAAATAATTATAAATGTAGTTAAATATTTGTGTAAATAAAAATTTAGCAAAATGTCATTCCACATAAAGAGAAAGTAGTCTAAATATCCAATAATAAAAAAAATTATTAAATAAATTGCCAGAATACACACACACACACACACACACACACACACACACACACACACATATATATACATGTATATATAATAGAATGTGATGTAATTTTCTCAGACTATTGAATGTTATGGCAGAATTACTCTAGTGATGCTGTTTGTAAAAATTCCATCACTAATAAACTTTTTCTATGAAACTTCTGCAACTTAAAATGGACTCTCTGGCATCTCATGTTAGTTCAAGGATTAGAGCTAGAGAACCTACAATACAAAAAATATCTCCTTTGATTGAACAGTGTTTCCTCTCTAATGATACAGTGAGGGGACTGGTACTGGTATGTACTTTAAATAAACATTTGCCCACAGGAAGTAAGCTTTACATTGGGAAAAGAATGTTGCTAGGTATGGATAAGAATAAATCTAGGAGTGCTCACTTTGGCAGCACATATACTAAAATCGGAATGATAAGGAGATTAGCATGGCCCCTGTGCAAGGATGACACACAAATTCATGAAGTGTTCTATATTTTTTAAACCTTAAGAGTTTCTGCACAGCAAAAGAAACAATAATTAAAGTGAATCAGCATCCAACTGAATGGGAAAAAAATCTTTGCAATCTACCCATCTGACAAAGGGTTAATATCCAGAGTCTACAAAGAACTAAAGCAGATTTAAAAGAAAAAACAAACAAACCCATTCAAAAGTGGACAAAGTATATGAACAGATACTTTTCAAAAAAAGACATATATGAGGCCAAGAAACATATGAAAAAAATGTTCATCATCACATGGTCATTACAGAAATGCAAATCAAAACCACATTGAGCTATCATCTCACACCAATTAGAATAGCAATCATTAAAAAAATCAGGAGACGATGGATGTGCAAGAGGATGTGGAGGAAAAGGAATACTTATACACTGTTGGTGGGAGCGTAAATTTGTCCAACCACTGTGAAAGACACTGAGGAAATATCTCAAGGATCTAGAAATAGAAATTCCATTTGACCCAGCAGTCTCATTACTGTGTATATACCTAAAGGAATGTCAATTGTTCTATCATAAAGACAGGCACATGATGTTCATTGCAGCACTGTTTACAATAGTAAAGACATGGAACCAACCCAAATGCCCATCAATGATAGACTAGACAAATAAAATGTGGCACATATACACCATGGAATACTATGTAGCCATAAGAAAAAGATGAGTTTATGTCCTTTGTAGGGACATGGATGAATCTGGAAACCATCATTCTCAGCAAACTGACACAAGAACAGAAAACCAAACACCGCATCTTCTCACTCATAGATGGGTGTTGAACAATGAGAACACATGAACTCAGGGAGGGAAGCATTACACACTGGGGTTGGTGTGGTTGGGGAAGCTAAAGGAGGGACAGCAGGGGTTGGGGAGGCTGGGAGGGATAACATGGGGAGAAATGCCAGTTATAGGTGACGGGGAGATGGAGGAAGCAAACAACCTTGCCAAGTATGTACCTATGCAACAATCCTGCACAATCAGTACATGTACCCCAGAACCTAAAGTACAATAAAAAAAATAAAAGAATAAATCTAGGACCACAATATAAAGAACTGAGCAATCTTTGATGACAGCAATCAATAGAAACAACAGACACAATGGAAAGAGTGAGCTGATCAAAGAGAAAAGTTCACAGTGAACCCTGGCAATCATTCTGGCCCACTGAAAGCTAAGGGACCACATTTTATAGCATTTCTATGCTCACAGCCTTGGATGGTCAGCTACCCAAATCAGTGGGCTCACATAAACTGAGTGGTTCCATGTACCTTCTTCCCTTGATGTTCAAACGCCACTTGTTAGCAACTTTCTGGTATAGAAATCTTCTGTTCTCTCTACCAACTACTTTACTAACTCAATGCAGAAATATTAGCTTACCTGAATACTTTACTGCCTAATGAGACTATTCAGGTCTCAATATTTTCTCCTAATAGTCTGTAAAGGGATGGAAACATTATAATGGTTTATTTACGCACATAAATTTTGCCATTTATCTTTCCTTTATCCTATAAAGGGATCATGCTTACAATTAGATTCAGTCTTAAATAACATTTTTAAAAAGACTATTAATTAGCCTAATAGCAGTCTTACCTACTTCATTCTAAGGTGGTGAGAAGTCTGTTAGAAATAACTGTAGAAGACCGGGTGTGGTGACTCACGCTGGTAATCCCAGCACTTTGAGAGGCCGAGGTGGGTGATTCGCCTGAGGTCAGGAGTACAAGACTAGCCAGGCCAACATGGTGAAACCTGGTCTCTACTAAAAGTACAAAAAATTAGCAGGAAGTGGTGGTGGGCACCATAATCTCAGCTACTAGGGAGGCTGAGGCAGGAGAATTGCTTGAACCTGGAAGGTGGATGATGAAGTGAGTGGAGGTGGTGCCACTGGGCTACCCAGCCTGGATGACAGAGCGAGACTCCATCAAAAAAAAAAAAAAAAAAAAAAAAAAAAAAAAAAAAAAAAAAAAAGAAAAAGAAAGAAAAGAAAAAGAAAAGAAGAGAAAAGAAATAACTGCAGAAAATTAATAAATTAATCAAGGGTGTGCATGACATTTGTCAATTCTGGTCCAAACCTTTGGTTTCTAGAAACATGCCCAGTATAGAACTCTGCATCCACGTCAAAAACAAAACAAAACAAAACAAAACAAAACAAAACAAAACAAAACAAAACAAAAAACAGTATAATAATTAAACAAGTACAAGTTATGCAGTATGTGAAATGTGCAAATATCATTCACCTGAAGAGATACAGCATTTTTACAGTCATTTTTCTTAACTTTGGTTTATTCGATGTACTCGGCATTTAAGAAGCAAGTGGTAGGTAGAAGAATGTTATGCTCTGAAAAATGTTGCATACTATAGTTTTGAACACAAACAAAAAATCTGTTAAGCCTCAAAAAGTTAATGTGTAAATAGTGACATATTACAGAACATTCAAATGGAAAGGACTGTACAAAGGCCTATCACTGAATTATTCAAATAAGGCAGATTTGTCCTCCAGTGGTTAAATGTCATCCCCGTTATGTATATATTTGAGAGTAAGACGTAAAAATTAGGAACTAAGAGTTTCTGTTACTTATCACAGACTTTGTCATATTTTCCTTATTCCCTGCAATGGATTGTCACTGATGTTATAATTCTATTCACTTGCGAAATCTCTCACCCTAGACACATAAGGAAAATTTAACAAGTTAGGACAGGTGGGCATTTGAAGCAGCGCTACTGGTAGTTCAGACCTTAGCTTCACATCTGATGCAAGTGCTCAGTCCCTTGATATCTCTTCCCGTGTCCACTGGTTTGAGTGACAGTTTTTCTCCACACAGAGAAAGATGAATTTTACACTCTATAGAAATGGGAAAACAAGTCCCACTGTTCTTGAACAGGTACACAACTTCCTAACACTGTTGCTAACTGAATGTTAGCATGTGCACTTTACTTCCAACCAAAGAAAGAAGCATTAGCTGAGAATCATTTTTGAAAGTTAGGTTTTTATTTGTTTGTTAATTATTATTATTTTAATCTCTGAATACAAAATTACATTTAATTTGCTGTCACTATCAGTTTATTGATTTGCTTATGAGTACACATTATATTAATGGAATATATAGTACGCCAACATTTGTATGTAAATCTGTTTTTGAAAGATCATTTTTATCTATTGAACCTCAGCATTTGCAGATTTCCTCTTTAATTAATACTTTTGGCTTTGGTTTTCATGTGATTATTAGGCATTTCATTTGAAAGGCATTCACAAATTTGTGACAATTTCATCATTTTCATGAGATTTTAATAATTTGCTTTATTACATGTAATGTAACAGTAGCTTATATAGTAAGTTACTATGCATTTGTTGAGACTTACAAGTGACTGATGTGGTATTTAGAAGCTAACACAGGAAAAACCATTCCAAGTCAGTTCACTTACATAATTATAATTTAAATCCAATTTACTTACTATTCCTTAGTCTGTAATAAAATTTAAACAAACTTTGCATATTTACCATTATTCATATTTTAATTTGAAATAGATTAAGTAACTACTAACATTCAATTTTAGACAGAAATATTAATTCATTTATTTCTTCATTTAGAAATGCCACTAGCAACCTGGATTCTAAAATATCAGTAGATATCCAGCCACCATTTCTGGAAATCATGCTAAAGAAAAAAAAAGGTCAGAAGGAAAGTACGTACTTAGCATCAAAACTGAGGTGCCTTTACAAATCCTGTCACATTTCCCTCATCAGACTGGTATGTGACCAATTAAATAAGAAATTGTCTCCATGAACTCAGGAATCTTTTGTTTCTTGTTCACTTCTGCATCACCAGAAATTACTAGAATTTGTAGCACTTAGTTATCCTCAATTAATATTTTCTGAATAAGTAAATACAAGTTAATTCTAAATAATTTCAGTGCATGAAAATGAGCTACTTCTTGGGATATCTCTATCTAAATATCAGTATACCTATATCAACATTGAATCTATCTCGATCTAATCACCACACCCTCCCAAATGTGTAATTCAAGTTCTGGCAGATGATTTACTGAGTTTCTTATGTAACACCCTCCCAATCATACTCCACCCCCTTCCCTAGCTTTTATGGTGGGGAGGGGATATGTACATACTACACATAACAGCCGGCTTTTCTACTTCCAAACTTCTTCCTATAGGTTTGTGCTAAAAAAAATAAAAAAAAAAAATAAAAAAAAAAAATAAAATGCTGGTTATGGTTTTCCCGTCTTCATTTCCTTCTATGGAAAGATCAGTAACAGACACGGTGGGTGGAGGAAAAGGATAAAGGACTAGCACTGTCAGGAAGCCAGGGTGTCGTGGGCCTGGACGGTCCCAGTCACTCTAGGGTCACAGACAGTCAGAAAACTGCTTCAACTGCACATGCTTTAAATGGTCTGAGCCACTAATATACGAGCAGTGTAGAATGTTAACAGTAATCAATTCATCCTAGAGCAGAGTTCTAAAGATTGAATAATGTTCAGTCAGTTTTTAAAAGAGAAAAAATTTCCTTTCAATATTTACTTAAAACTTTAAAAATGTTTAAGGGCTCATTAAAATGTGCAAATATAAATAAAAATAAAATTATTAGGTTATAGCTGCTATTACTACGAAAACAATTTTACAGAATTGATACAAACGAAACTACAGAGCCAATAAAATTCAAATGAACAAAATTAATGTGACAATTCATGTTTGGTTTGACACTAAAATGATACTTTATATTGTTCTCTGAAATTACATGGGAAACTTTCGAGTTTGACACAAGGTAAAGATTCAATTCTCTTGCAGTTATTCTATATTGAAAAGTCTATGAAACTTTTATTTAATCAGTGAGCCCTATTTTCATTTGGGTTTCACTTGGTTGTGCATCATTTACAAAATTTCTGGCTCCATTACTTTTACCTTTACTCTGAATAAATAATATTTAAGTTAACTGAATAAAATGTTACTTGGAAACAAAGCAAGAGGCGATCTAAAGAAACT